TACCACTTTATAATGTATATGTATTAAATAACCACGAGACATGACAACAGATTTAGACATAAATTGTGATATCCAGCCAATATTCTGCCAGAAGCTTTTTAGTACCTGCAGAAAACGTTTGACCTGGAGTGGAACTTGCTAAGATCCTTTGAAATAAGAAGAGTTTTTGTTTTTTGAATGATGTATAACTTTATCTGGATAATGAAAACAAGAATAAATACAAATCAGTACTCTTAATCCACTTTTTTTTAATTTATTTTTTTTTTTTTTTTACAAAAATCACTAAAGGCCTTTGTTTTTTTTGTTGTTTTTTTTTAAGTTCCCGCTGCAATGCTCCCTTAAATAAATCCTAGAAATACCTAAACAGTGCCATTCATGCCTACAGTTTTTGATGCATTGTGAGCTTAATAAAGTGTTCTACAACTGAACGATTCCCCTCACTTCTTTTTTAAGAGATCTCTCACCTTTGTCAGGTTGCTGTTGTTTTTCTTCTTTTCATCTTTTTGCTTTTTTTCCCTTGATTTGTCAGATTCAGAAACCTGCTATCACTGTAAAAAAAGAGCCTAAAAAATTCCTGGAAAAGGACAACGATGATCGGAAGCTAAAACATGCTGAGGGGCCAGTGGCTAAAAGCTCAAAAAAAGAAGAATCATCTCCTGTTGATTGTAGCGGTCCTGGGCTCCAAAAGAATGAAGGCGGAAATCAGATGAAGAATGGAGAGGTAATACAGATGCTGCACAGATGCAAGGAAGGGACCTTTTACCCAATCTGTAACATCACTTTGATTTTCTTCTCAATAGGATATGTTCTTCTATCCACCTCTTCCCACCATGCCTTTCCCGTCCTCCCTGAACATGGAAGCAGCATCGTACAGTTTACCTCAGAAAGTAGTCGTAAATTTGGCCTTTATTAGGAACCCAACCAGGATATCTGTTCTCTGGAACATTGAGGATAAAGACCCCTTGGCGCCACCTATGGAAAGTTACATGTAAGAGGCAACACTCGACAAATAATACTTGAGAAAAAGTAGTTGGGACCAGTATAATGTAGTGAAAATAAATGAAGACAATGAGTTTAATATCATCTGTTTACTCTTTCCATGC